GACTTCGTCGCCGACCAGTTGATCGGACTGTTTGCTGGTCACTTCTACTCAATGTTCACTTTGCCGCCGACTAGTTGACCGGACTGTTCGTCACTCGTGCTTCATCATTAGCTACGCTGGGGACTCCTCGGTGCTCGAACATCGCTAGCTACGCCGAAGGACTCCTCGGTGCTTGGACATCGCCAGCTACGCCGGGGACTCCTCGGTGCTCGGACATCGCCAGCTACGCTGGGGACTCCTCAGTGCTCGGACATCGCCAGCTATGCCGGGGACTCCTCGTTGCTTGGACATCGCCAGCTAAGCTGAGGACTCCCTTGGTGGTCGAATCTTGCTACGTCTCATCGGTGTGCTATCAAGCTGCTCCATGCTGTTCGGATCAGGGAGCTGATCTTGGGCAGCACGTCTGGGGTCTTGATACGCGCATGTCAGATGACGTCGGCAAGCTTTTAGACTTCTTTTCTTTGACCCTGCTACAAGATTCATTCTTCATCTTCAGCAGGCTCGGGGACTAAGTGGCTACACTTCACCTGGCGGTGAATGTAGTGCTTATTTCTTGATTTACCCTCCTTACTGACGGAGTCTAAGTGGCTACACTTCTCCTAAGGGGAAGAATTTTCAAATTTTATCTTGAGGCCCTTACATCCTTCTAGCAAACCTCAGCTTCGAGTAAGTTTGGGCTTGCTCACAGTTGAACTGCTCGGACGCCGTTCCCACTGCTCGGACAATAGCTCAGATGACAGTTCAACTGCTCAGACACGTGTTCAACTGCTTGGACGCCTGTTCAACTGCTCGGACGCCTTTTCAACAGCTTGGCTCCCAATCAAACTGATTGGACACATGTTCCTGATGATCAGCAGCAAGTTGGACAGCTCGGACAAGCTGAAGACGGTGTTGCTCAAAGGATACAAGACGCTCAGGGACTAGCTGTGGGGGATATGACCCCCGGTATCCATAAGACAAGACATGAGCCACACCATCAGAGGTGGCCCAGCCCACAAGATCAAGGCGTGCATAGCACTGGTCGATGTACAGCACAAGATATTGTATAGTATCAAATAGGATATTTTCCTTTTAACCCTACCCCTCCAGAGTATATAAGGAGAGGAAGGGGTCCCCTAGTCGACATCTACATACATCCCATATTCAATACAATACAACAAAGACATAGGACATAGGGTATTACGTTGATTAGACGGCCCGAACCTGTCTAAATCGCTGTCTCTACGCCTTATGTCACCATTCGGTTCCTGATTACGCGCACCTCCACCGATCAATCTACCTTCATGGGATACCCCTCCGAGGACTGCCGAGCATCTTTTGTCGACAGTCATGTTACTGCTATGTTGATGCAAAGTTCAAATTATTTTGAGTCAGTCATGAAATTAAAATTTGGAGTCAGACATTTAAGTTGGCTCAACTCATTAGCCACCTATCTGTGTATTAAATATTAATTAGCTTGTGTGTGCAGCAATGCTTTCTTGTGCTAAATTTTCAGTTAAGTGTGACCTAATCCCTATGTGTTATATCCATGGTACTATGCATTACTATGTGTTATATCCTTAGTTAACTTGCTGTTTTTTTCTCTCCTTTGCTCTCATATCCTTTGCAACAGCCACCACTGTTTCTGTGATTATATATGGCAGTAGCTAATGCGTTTTTGGCCTACTCTCCTCCCCTCTCCTCTTCTCACTTCCCTCTACTCCTTCTCCTCTCCTCTTCTACTAATACTTCTACAACTCCTCTCCTCTCCTCTCTTATCCTACTACTACTACTACTTCTACTACTCCTCTCCTCACCTCTCCTATCCTACTACTTCTACTACTCCTCTCCTCTACTTGTACTACTCCTACGCTCCTCTCCTCTCCTATATGTTTGGCAAGCAGCCGGTGCTATATTTTTTGGGCAGGTAGCGGCTGCTCTATTTTATTTGGCAAGCACTAGTTGCTTTTCTCTACTCTATGTTTGGCAGCAGTTGCTCTATTTTTTTTGGCAAGCACCAGTTGCTTTTTTTTGGCCAACTCTCCTCTCCTCTCCTCTCCTCTCCTCTGTTTTTGCCTATGATGAAATTGTCTAACTCCATATATTATCTAGAATATGAGCTGATGATCAAGAACTTGTGAGGAACTTGACATCATTACCAGCCGCCCCTACATTACCTTATCACACTTCACTATTATGATGTCTTTATGCTCCAAGTTCATGATCAAATGATGATTGACATGTTTCTGAGGCCTCTACTTTTACTCTTTTTGTGATCTATTGCTGTCAAGTATTTTCTAAAATTTGAATTTGGCTCATCTCGAATGGAGTGTCATTGCATACTAGTCTCCTCTAGGAGTTTTTGGCCTTGTAGTGTCATTGGGTTTTCTTTTCTTTCCTCCTCTACTATTAGTGACTGTCATGTTAGTATATGATCTCACCTAATTCTTGAATCTTGACGTGCCCAATTCACCATTCTACTACTCCTCTGCTACTTGTACTACTCCTCTCCTCTCCTTCTACTATTGCTGCTGCTATCCAACTATCCTTTCCTATCGTACTACTACTACTACTACTACTACTACTACTACTACTACTACTACTACTACTACTACTACTACTACTACTACTACTACTACTACTACTACTCCTGTTCCCTACTACTCTTCCCTATACTTCTACTACTACTAACTAGTACTACTTCTACTACTACTAACTATTACTACTACTACTATTACTATTGTTGTCCTACTACTAATACTACTGCTGCCACAACTACTCCTGATTGATGGTTATTTTCTTCAATTCCACTCATAGGAAATGGGTTCTTGCTATGTTGTTTTCAATAGGAAGAAACCTAGGATTTACATGTCTTGGCATGAGGCTAGTGAACATGTGCTTGGGTTCAAAAATGCTATAGACAAGAAGTACAACAACTATGACCAGGCACTTAGAGATTTCAATGCCTATGTTGGAGCAACAACTACCTCCTCTAAACTGGTCCCAGTTGATTGTGGTGAAACAATCCTCCCTCAGGGTGGTAAGAGTGGTTTTTGGAAGAATGTGGTGATTAACGCATAGGAGTTGACATGCCTTGCTAGAGGCCGCTACCAACAAATGGCCGAGTAGGAGTACTCGGGCCATGTCTATCTGTGTGTGAACCCATAGGGTCGCACGCTTAAGGGGCTGGAAGCCTAATTCGGATTGGATCCGAGTTAGACAAGGCTTAGGGTTACTAATGGGCCTCCAACTCGGGAACTCATTAGGGATGCCTATAAATAAGTGGGGTGGGCAACAGGGCTAGGGATTCCCCATGCCTTTTTGGCAGCTGCCGCCGCCGCCCATCCTACACCTGCGCCTGTTGCTGCTCGCGGACCTAGCAGTCCGGAGGCACGACGCTTCCTCCCTGTACGTGTGGATACCTCGGAGGTGCTACATCTGGAGCACAAGAACAAACCGCATGAAGGGGAAGGACGTACGGACGACCTCGCAACTGCACGGCACTGCTACGATGCGTACGACTACATCGAGTCACTTCCGCTGCACCTATGCGTCTAGTGGTAATCCCATGATCTATAACTAGCAGTAGATCCTGGTTTATGAGGTTGAATTTTTTGTTTTTCGGCTTGCGTAGCATCCTCATAACCCTTCAGTGGTATCAGAGCCATTACTGCGTTGTTATAGGTTCGGATGAGTGCGTATGGAGATATGCGCGGTTGTAGATGAGTCTCTGATCATGGTTTGTGATTTTACCGTGTTAGTCTTGTAACGATCTACTCGTACCGGTCGGAATTCTGCCATCCGAGTTAAGTGATACATGTAAATCCAGTTATGGCAAGATGGAGATCAATCGGATTGATCGAATCGAACCTAGGTCAAGTGCCGAGCGCATGCGATGCGCAACGGTGATAGATTGGATCTATTGCCGGGTGCGGGGGTGCAAGAAAATTGTTGTTCGGTAAAACAGCCATAACTTTTGCATACGACCTCGGATTGAGACGAATTTTATATGAAAATTGTAGAGAAAAATTTTTACATCTAATTCTCACGCCTTTGGCGGTTTCGCTGAAATTAGATTTGCGAAAAACGGCCGGGAAGATGGTGTTTTGGGCATTTTAAGATTAGACGTCGGAATCGGTTAACTCTGTTTTGCAGGAACTTACGACTGGTATAGCCCTTATGTGTATGTGATGCATGTATGTAATTAATTCATGGCTTGCATGTTGTGAGCATGACAATATGGCTGGAGCCACAAAGATATTGTCAATTTGATGTAATGGCCTGCGTGCCAAACTGTGATGATCCTATCCGCGACTATGTAATTTTCTTCACTGCCTTGCATTAGTGATAACTAGTCTCGGTGGACTCATCACTAAAGGATGGCATAGATGGATCATGGAGATGGAGATCATCATGAGGAACAGTTCGATGGAGATGGAGATCCCCAAAGGAACAATGGGCTATACCATGTCATATCTGTGTTAATGTTGTTCTTACTATGTTCTACTTTCACGTGCGATAATGTTTTTGTCTACATGCGATGCTGAAGTAGAACGATCCCTCGGCAATGTTTAAGTTAAAATGCTTCCCCAAACCTTGCACTGTCAAGTGTCTTGTACAATCGGTGGTGGGTCTATGAAATTAGGGTGCCACTAATTTTCCTTGACTAGACAGGTTCGTATCGGATACTTACAGCAGAAGGGTTGGTTACTTGAACAAGGTCATCCTAACGGTTAGGGACCTTGGAGCATGAGTAGTTGAGCACCAAAGCATAGAGATGCTACCCAACAACAAGAGTCATATGTGATATGATTAGCAAAGAGTTGCTTACCAATCTACCATGTCTTCTAGCGGTGATGCTAAAGCTCACTAGTAGACTTGTTAGTTGTGGGTCTTGAATCACTAAGTTTCAAGAGAGGGATATTGATTTTAGTGGGAGTAGATTCTATTAAAGGTTTAATATTGTTTACTCTGTCTTGGATACATTGTCTTAGTATTTTGCATTACTTTGTTGTAGATAAATGGCGCCTAGCAATCAACCATTTACTTTGCGTTCAATTCTTGAGAAAGATAAGTTGAATGGAACAAACTATGCGGATTGGATCCACAACCTGAGAATTGTTCTTAGGGCTGAGAAAAAGGAAGAAATTCTAGACACCCCATTACCACAAGAGCCTGTTGATAATGCACCTGCTGTAGAGAAAAACGCTTACAAGAGAGCATGTGATGGTAATCTTGAAGTGAGTTGCCTTATGCTTGCTTGTATGGAACCAGATCTACAGCTACAGTTTGACAATAACCATGCAGCGCACGATATGATCGTGGCGCTCAATGATATGTTCCAGACTCAAGCCAGGACTGAAAGGTTCAGTGTCTCAAAGGCTTTTGCTAAAACCAAGCTAGCAGAGGGCGTAGCAGTTGGGCCACATGTGATCAAAATGGTTGGTTACACTCAGAGGTTGGAGAAGCTAGGCTTCCCAATTGGCCATGAATTAGCTACTGATTTTATTCTCGCGTCTCTTCCGCCTAGCTATGGAAATTTCGTCGCGAACTACCATATGCATGGGGCGGAGAAGGGCTTGAATGAATTATGTGGCATGCTTAAAACAACAGAGGCTGATATCAAGAAAGGTGCTGGCAGTAGCCATGTGATGGCGGTCCAAAACAAGCCTAAGTTTAAGAAGAAGGGCAATTCTTGGAAGAAGAAAAGGGGCAAGGCTAAAGATGAGATCTCTAAGCCAAACCCACCTGCGCCCAAGGCTGGACCAGCTGCTGATGCTGAGTGCTTTCATTGTCATGGGAAAGGTCACTGGAAGAGAAACTGCAAGCTGTACCTAGAATCCATAAAGGATCGCGGCAGTAAAGGTACTCCCACAGCTTGTACACTTGTTGTTTATATTACGGACACTTTCCTTGCTAATTATTATATTAATTCTTGGGTATTTGATACCGGATCGGTTGCTCATATTTGCAATACGATGCAGGGAATGATAAGAAGTAGAAGCGTGGAAAATTGAGAAGTTGATTTCCGCGTGGGCAATAATGCAAGAGTTGCTGCGTTGAACATCGGGACGATGCAACTCCACCTCCCGTCAGGATTTGTTATGGAGTTGAATAATTGTTATTTTGTTCCTAGTTTAAGTCGAAACATTGTGTCACCTTCATGTTTGATGAAGGATGGTTATTCATTTGCGAGTAAAGACAATGGTTGTGTGATCTCTAAAAATGGCATGTTTGTGGCTTCTTCATCCATTGTGAATGGGTTATTTATTTTAAATCTTGAAGATGCTCCTGTCTATAATATAAGTGCTAAAAGGCTTCGGCTTAATGAGTTAAGTCCCACCTATATGTGGCATTGTCGTTTAGGTCATATAAGTGAGAATCGCATGAAGAGGCTCCATTCTGATGGACTTTTAACTTCGTTTGATTTTGAATCATACGAGACATGTGAGGCTTGCCTGCTGGGCAAGATAACCAAGATGCCTTTCATAGGTTTTCCTGAGAGGGCGGTAGACTTGCTGGAACTCATACATACTGATGTGTGCAGACCAATGAGTACGACAGCAAGAGGTGGATTCCAATACTTCATAACCTTCACTGATGACTTTAGTAGATATGGCTATGTCTACTTGATGAGACATAAGTCTGAGACATTTGAAAAGTTCAAGGAGTTTTAGAGTGAAGTAGAGAATCAACGTGGCAAGAAAATTAAGGCTTTGCTATCTGATCGTGGAGGCGAATATTTGAGCCACGAGTTTAGCAATCATCTAAAGAGTTGCGGAATTGTTCCATAGCTTACGCCGCCTGGAACGCCTCAGAGAAATGGCGTGTCCGAGCGACGTAATTGGACTTTGTTGGACATGGTTCAGTCTATGATGAGCCAGTCAGACCTACCATTATCATTTTGGGGATACGCTCTAGAAACAACCACTTTCACATTGAATAGGGTACTGTCTAAGTCAGTAGTTAAGACACCACATGAGATGTGGACTGGTAAGAGTCCCAGTTTGTCTTTTCTGAAAATTTGGGGTTGTGAAGTTTATGTCAAACGACTTATGACAGATAAACTAACACCCAAGTCAGACAAATGCTTTTTTGTGGGATATCCGAAGGAAACTTTAGGGTATTACTTTTACAACCGATCAGAGGGCAAAGTGTTTGTTGCTCGGAACGGTGTTTTCATAGAGAAAGAGTTTCTCAAAATAGAGAAAAGTGGACATAAGGTGTATCTTGAAGAAGTTCAAGATGAGCCAGTTAGGAAGGACTCTACGAGTGATGCTAATGTAGCCGAACAAGTTGAGATACCCGTGGCAATAGAAACACCGCCACAACCACGAAGGTCAGCAAGAATTCATGAGTTGCGTGGGGATTTGTTATTGTTAGACGATGACGAACCTGCGACTTATGCAGAAGCAATGATGGACCCAGATTCCGAGAAATGGCAAAGTGCCATGAGATCCGAGATAGATTCCGTGGGAAACAATCAAGTTTGGACCTTGGTTGACCCGCCTGATGGGGTTAGACCCATAGAGTGAAAATGGATCTATAAAAAGAAAAAGGATATGGATGGAAACGTTCATGTCTATAAAGCTTGACTTGTTGCAAAGGGTTTTCGGCAAGTTCAAGGAACTGACTACGACGAGACTTTCTCGCCGGTAGCGATGCTTAAATCTATCCGGATCATTCTAGCAATAACTGCTTATTTCGACTATGAGATATGGCAGATGGATGTTAAAATAGCCTTTCTAAATGGAAATTTGGATGAGGACGTGTATATGATATAGCCCGAAGGTTTTGTTAATCCAAACAATGCTGGAAAAATTTGCAAGCTTCAAAAATCCATTTATGGATTAAAGCAAGCATCTCGGAGTTGGAACATTCGTTTTGATGAAGTGGTCAAAGGGTTTGGCTTCCATTAGAATGAAGAAGAACCTTGTGTTTACAAGAAGGAAAGTGGGAGCGCTGTTGTATTTCTGATCTTATATGTGGATGACATATTATTGATTGGGAATGACATTCCTATGCTGCAATCCGTAAAGACTTCACTGAATAATAATTTTTCTATGAAAGATTTAGGAGAAGCAGCATACATTTTGGGCATCAAGATCTATAGAGATAGATCGAAGAGGCTTATAGGATTAAGCCAAGATACGTACATTGACAAGGTGTTGAAACGGTTCAACATGGAACAGTCCAAGAAAGGGTTCTTGCCTATGTCACATGGTATGCGCTTTAGCGATAAATAGTGTCCTTCAACAGCTGATGAGCGGAAGCGCATGAGTAAGGTTCCATATGCCTCGGCAGTTGGTTCCATCATGTACGCCATGATATGTACTCGCCCAGATGTCTCATATGCTCTAAGTGTTGCGAGCAGGTACCAAGCTGATCTAGGAGAGAGTCACTGGACACTTGTTAAAAACATTCTTAAGTACTTGAGAAGGACTAAAGATGTGTTCCTAATCTATGGAGGTGAGGAGGAGCTCGTTGTAAATGGTTATACCGATGCTAGCTTCCAAACTGACATGGATGATTCACACTCTCAATCAGGTTTTGTGTTCACAATAAATGGTGGTGCTGTTAGTTGGAAAAGTTCCAAGTAGGAGACGGTGACCGATTCTACAGCAGAGGCCGAGTACATTGCAGCCTCTGGAGCTGCGAAGGAAGGTGTTTGGATGAGGAGGTTCCTCATTGAACTTGGTGTGTTTCCGAATGCGTCCAGCCCATTGAATCTACATTGTGACAACAATGGGGCAATTGCGCAGGCTAAGGAGCCAAGGAATCACCAAAAGAACAAACATGTACTGCGGAAATTTCATCTCATTCGAGAGTTCATTAGACGAGATGAGATCAAGATGTGCAAGATACACATAGATTTGAATGTTGCAGATCCTTTGACAAAGGCTCTTCCACAGCCTAAGCATGAGGCACACATGAGAGCTATGGGTATTAGATATCTTTGAGATTAACTCTAGTGCAAGTGGGAGATTGTTGGGAGTATGCCCTAGAGATAATCATAGAGATGATTATATTGCCTTGTATCCATGATATATTATGAGTTCATTGAATTTCCATTAAAGACAACCTGTATCGATTAGCAATTATGTGAATTGTTTGTGAAACTCTTTTACTTGTATGGTTATTCTAATGTTGTCCCTGGTCAGAGTTCGTGTGAGGACACACATTGAATAATGAATCAGCACATTATTAGTTGATGACTATGTTTCACAAGTCATAGACATGAAGATGTCAAACTAATAATGTGGGCACATGTATGACATGGGGCTAGACTGACCCAACGTGAGATGTTGTTATTATCTCTATTCACATCATGTACGTTATGTCCTTAGACCTGAGATTGTTGTATGTATTCAAGATGTGAAACGACCTACTCAGGGACTATTAAACGCTACTCCGTAACAGGGTAGTTATAAAGGTGGTTTTTGGGTTTGTCGGGAAACATGCTATGAGACATAGACAATCAAGATGGGATTTGCCCCTCTCTATATGAGAGATATCACTGGATCACTCTAATGATTAGATCAAGAAATGCATGGCCGTGCTTGGGTTAAGTGTTAACCTATGAGTTGGACCAAATATCATGAGGCAAGGGAATAACAAGTATGTGGTTTTATGGTGGTTCGTCTGATATGATCTTTACGTACGCATAGGAGTTGACATGCCTTGCTAGAGGCCGCTATCAACAAATGGCCGAGTAGGAGTACTCGGGCCATGTCTATGTGTGTGTGAACCCATAGGGTCGCACGCTTAAGGGGCTGGAAGCTTAATTCAGATTGGATCCGAGTTAGACAAGGCCTAACTCGGGAACTCATTAGGGACGCCTATAAATAAGTGGGGTGGGCAACACGGCTAGGGATTCCCCATGCCTTTTTGTTAGCCACCGCCGCCGCCCATCCTACGCCCATGCCTGCTGCTCCTCGCGGACCTAGCAGTCTGGAGGCACGACGCTTCCTCCCTGTACGTGTGGATACCTCGGAGGTGCTACATCTGGAGCACAAGGACGAACCGCACGAAGGGGAAGGACGTACAGACGACCTCGCAACTGCACGGCACTACTACGATGCGTACGACTACATTGAGTCGCTTCCACTGCACCTTCACGTCTAGTGGTAATCCTGTTATCTATAACTTGCAGTAGATCCTGGTTTATGAGGTCGAATTTTTTGTTTTCCGGCTAGCGTAGCATCCTCGTAACCCTTCAGGCATCAAGATTGACTGGGCCTCGGTCAGACATCCATGTACTAATGGTCAGGTCGAGCGTGCCAATGGCATGGTCCTCCAAGGACTCAAACCACACATCTTCGACTGACTTAATAAGTACACCGTAGAGGTCCCAGCGATCCTCTAGAGCCTGAGAATGACCCCAAACCGATCCACAGGGTTCACACCCTTCTTCCTGGCCTACGGAGCTAAAGCAGTGTTGCTCTCCGACCTCAACCATGGTGCCCCAAGAGTGAAGGCCTTCGACTGCGACTGAGCCACGAAGGCTTAGCAGGACGCGGTCAACCTGCTCGAGTAGGCTCGCGAGATGACCATCATCCGCTCCGCTCGCTACCAGCAAACTCTCCGTAGGTACCATGAAAGAAAAATCAAAGCGAGGATCCTCGAGGTTGGAGACCTCATGCTTTGAAGGACCCAATCAACCAAAGAGAAATACAAACTCTCTCCGCCATGGGAAGGACCCTATATGGTGACCGAAGTGATCTGACCGGGCACCTACCGACTGAAGGATGACAACGGCAATGTTCTCACCAACAATTGGAACATCGAACAGTTACGTCGTTTCTTCCCCTAAAAGTTTGGTCTTACCGCTTTCTATCATTCAAACATTTGCTCCTACAAGCACCCCGGCCCGAACACTCTCGACCTGGGTCGCTCGGGGGCTCCACGAGGGTGCGATACCACCTCGCTTTTTACTATCATATAGTAAATACTTTTTGCCCGAACAAAAGGGCAGTCTGTTCCTTTAATTACCCTATGTAACTTTGCTTTAAACTCCCGACCGATCACACCCCGCCATGACCTATGGTTACGAGCAACTGAGCCTCGCAGGCCACGCACGGGTTCTTAAGGTTGCAGCCTACGGGTCAAACGGGCAGGTGCGAAAAAGAAAGGATAAAAAAATAGAGCTATGCTTGGATAAAAACAAAGAACGGATGGGACATGCTTCCCCTTATAAATGATTCCATCACAAAATGAAACTGATGTATTCATTAATGCAAAACAATTGTTCACATGGGGCTCCCCCATGAACTTATCCCTTACATTTGCTGATTACTTCTACTCTAAATACTACTGTGGCCGCCCGGTGGCATCGGTTGACAGCGTGACCGATGAAGATAAGGGCTGCTCGCCCTCCGATGGGGCGACGTTTGGTTCGGTCGGAGGCGGGATGACTCTCGCTTCTGACCTAGCCACCACTCCATCTGCAGGCTGGGTGACGTCTTCTTGACGCAAACTTTCAGCCACGCTCACACGGCAAGCATCCATCACCCACTGCGTGGAGACTTGCTAGGCCACCATCTGTGCTCATGGCATCAAGCTCTCCCCGAGCGCGTGGATGGCGTCTGCGCTCCAGCCGTCGGCGTACCCGATGCAGATGGCGGCGAAGACTAGATCCGGGTGGTGTGTCTCCACTGAGGTCAGCATCCCCGACGTCCCATAGAACATCTCGTCGGAGATGAGCACCCAAACCTTGTTCGGGACCTCCGCCAGCTGGATGGCGGGCATGCTGGTGCTCGGCGCCGACCTGAACACCTCCGAGACAACGATCTAGGCGAATTTGTGGATCTGGTCAAGCTCCTGCTTGAGAGCACATCGCTCTTTAAGGGACTTGGCTAGCGCCTCCACACTCCGACCGATCGTCGCCTTGGCTGTCTCCAGGTCCCGCTCCAGAGAACCGATTCTTCCGCCCAGTTCTAGAAAAAGCACGACAACTTCAGAAGCAAGGGAAAGGAAAAACCAAGACATCAACCAAAGGCGTAACAGGTAAGTACCGAGGCCGGTGTTCTCGAGGATGGAGAGTCCTTCCCCCTACTGGGTCACCTTCTCGAGCAGCCGAGAGTTCGACTCCTCCGCCCCAAGAACTTGCCCCTGGAGCGCGAGCACTTCCCGATCGACCTTTGACCGGGCCTTCCGCTCCATCTACAGGGTCTCCAAGGACTTCTGGAGCACCACCTTAGTCTTTGTCAGGTGGACCTTCACCACGCCAGTCCCTGCTCAGCAACAGTTGCTTGTTCCGCCGCCGCCGCGAGTCCCCGCTCGGCAGCGGTCGCTCGTTCCACCGTGAGCAGCTCCGCCGCCCGCGCTCCCGTCACCTCGGCCACCCGGTCTTTAGACTCACGGTGGGTGGACTCCAGTTGGTGCTCGAGCTCATCGATCTGCCATGACATCACGGCTTCCCGCTCCATCCGATCGTGCTCCTCCCAAAGGAAACATGACTTGCGGAGCGACTTCGCCTCTAACTCCTGTAAAGCAAGAAGCAAGCATGCTGACACAACCAGTGGAAGACCAAGGAGTTGATGACAAAGACTAAAATCACAGAGGGCTTACCTCGGTGACGTGTGGCAGGTCGACTGAGACCGCCTGATGGGCGAGCTCTACCCGCTCCAAGGCCTCCCTGAGCTTCACCTTGGTTTGGGCGAGGTCAGACTCCATCGACAGTCCGCTCTCCTCCAGGAAGTGCTAGAGCGCTGCCTCCTCCCCATCGCATAGGACAAACTAGGCCTTCCTTGGGTCACTGGGGCAGGGCCACACCAGGTCACAGGTCCCCCCAACCCGCTGGAAGGCCCAGCCGACGACCGGACCATCGCCAACTCCTGCGACAGCGGGATGGCCAGTGGCTCCACCCTGGTGCCTGCCTCACCGGAGTAGGGGATCTCCACCTCCTCAACCATATGGCCCGCCAGTGGATGCTCTGCCTCCGGCCTGGCCGCGTCGCCTCCCGACACCTCCAGCTCCGACTAGGAGGTCGCACCACCGCCAGCCTACTTTCCCCGTCGCTCATCGTGACTCATTGCAGGCTGGGTCTCCACTCCTCCCACATGAGAGGTGGGGCGATGCTCAATCCCGTCAGTATCTGGTCGCTGTAACCAAAGTACAGGTCAGTCACGCTCGAAAAACTCAAACTATGAGATCAAAAGAAACATGAGTACATACCTAGACGAAAGGGGTAGGGCCCTAAAGCCCTGACCCATTGGCAACAAGCCCGCTGGACGAGGACCGCTTATGGGTCATGACCCGCGCCCCCTCACATCGACCGAGGGGGGAGTCGACCTGGCCGGTTCTCGATCGGCCCGCGAGCCGCCACGACCGCTGACTTGTGACGCGCCCACCAGAGTAGCTGGCGGGGCGTCCCCCTGTTGTGGGTCGTGCGCCGGCGCCGACCCCAAAGATGCAGGGGTGTGAGCCCGCTCCTCCAACCGATCGGCCTGCCCCGCCACGCTTGGAACAGGGGGGCGACGCCAACGATGCCTCCGAAAGCCGCGACGACCACGTTCGCTTCACCTCTCGCTCATTAGCGGTGTCCGAGCTCACGGCGTGCTTCCTTGATGCTAGAACGTTGCCGCGCCTCTCCGTATCTTGCCCGCCGCTGGCAGACATGGCCGTAGGCTCGCGACGCTCCACCGAGGTCACGACGATGTCCTGGCCTCCTTCATCCTCAGAAGAGCTCACATTGCCACCCATCTACGTGGGTTCCTCTAACACGAGCTCCGCCTCCACGTCGCTCCTATTTTCCTTGGCCCATACCCGCCGGGCAACCTCCTTCTCCTTCTGGTGCCAACGCCAAGCCTTCTCGGCTCTCTTCTTCATCTTGGCGTCCGCCGCCTCCTTCTGGGCAACTTGCCGAGCTGCGCCCTCCGGCCCCCTCGGAAGATGCGGCCAGGATTTGTAACCGATGAGTCCCTACAAAATGGGTGACTCAAAGTCAAAAATGGGAGAG